CAGGAAGGTTTGGTCTGACCGGTCAGACGTACCTGGACCATCCTGTCGGGGTGCCCTGTGGAAGCCGATATATAGGCCCTATAGGGATCCAACGTGGTACTTGGATCCCTAGGGTAGTGTGGGGTAGTCCAGCCAGGACACCCAGACAGGATGATCCTGGTATATCCTGGTAGTCTTGGTGTGGGACAAAAAACAACAGACTCCAAGGGCCTTGCAGGACCTTCCGTGTTTAGAAATAGCCTCTTATAGTGGTGATTTGGGGTGTCCCAAAAACCACCTGCTGGAAGGTCCTGGTTCGTTGGGAGGATGAAGAACTTTGGAGTCTGGCTGGACTGTTTGCGACCCTCACAACTTGCAGATCGCTCCGGACGAACAAGGACGACAGTTAGCTGTCAAAAAGGCAGTTGGATACTTCAGTTCAGTTCGGCCCTCTGCTTCAGAGCAACAACCTCTTCAAACACTGAGACATACTGAGACATTGGTCTCGGCAGGTTGAAGACATGCGCGCTCCGATCCTTTCTGGAGGATTCCCTTTGACCCATCGGGGTGAGTGGAACCTACAGAGGGGCTGGGCCGGACCCGAGAACATGAACTAGAAACAGCATGAACTGCAGTACTACCATCTGGAGAGAACATGAACTACAATCAACAGACTCTTCTAAATAGAACTGCATCTGAGACTTGGAAAAAGGCTGACCGCCTGGTCAAAACAGAACACCGCCCTCTGAAGGAAGGGTGATCGTTCCCCGGTGCTCCCGCCTGCACGTCTCCCAGCAAATTCAACGCTGGCGAGTTGCCCCAAAACCTCGTCGTGCCGATCTGTCGGCGAGTCCATTCGGACGCCGGCAATGGGTGGCATTCCGGGACAAGCTGTTGAAACGCTACGTTCACCAATAGGACAAATACCATATAGATCCATAGCCTTTAAAGACCATGTTAAAAGAATTGTTGACCTGGTGTTGTAGCCCAAAATCGTCAATAAAACGTACATGATTGTTTGGTTAAACCACGTCAAAAACCACTACTGTACCAGCCAGGATGTTGAAATCCTACATATTATATTACGTTGATCGAGGTCTTTTTAACCGTTTTTTTCGACCCGGTCACTCTCGGTGTCGGACGTGTTGCATTTCACAGACGAATGAGAGAACACCGAACAGGTGTGGCTCTTTCGTTCGGAGGCTCGGCAGCTCGGCAGGTTTCTCCGATTCCGATTCCGATGATGTTCTTCTTTGAGGTCTTATGATGCCAGATCACGTCTCTACCTGAGCATGTCATACCATGTCATCACCTCGTGTCAGATCAGACATGAGACTTCTGGTTGTGTTTGATCATGGCCATCCATCTCTTCTTGAGAGCGCGAACCAACAAAACTGTGCTGAAACGCGAAAGCAAAGACACCACAAATAGCATTCCTGGCAAGCATCCCTCAAGCAACCACTTGGTGATCCTTAACCAGCACCCCCACTCGGGGTGGTTAATGGACACCCCTTAACAGCTAAGGGGCTATAACGAGACACCCACTTGGTGATCCTGAAAACCCAACGAAGCCTAGATCACCCAGACATCGGCAGAATCCACCGTCCACGAAAACCACCTGCTTCTCATCCCCAAAAAGAACAGGATAAAAACCCACTTCCTTCATCCAAAATTGGAACCGGCCCCTCCAGCGAAGGATCCAGCTAAGACGGATTCACCCCACAAAAACATACCGACCAAAACCATCGAGCCGTACGACGACTTCTCGGTTGCAAATCTTCCCCTACAAGTCCAGTCTGACTCAGTAAAACCCGGTCTTTTACCTCCTTGAGTTGAGTAGTGTGGTTGTATGGCCAACTCCGGTATTTCATGAGGTCATTGACCTGTAGGGTTCTGGGTTGCCAAAAAGAACGGTCCACCGATGGGAAACCCCTCCCAGGATGTCCCAGGATGATCCCCTATAATTAGTCGCTGGAGCGAGCGAAAGCGGACTCGAAGCCTTGGAATCCCAAACACGACACGTCTGGGACCGCCATACCAGTGACCCTCAAATCCCATGAAAAAAACAAAGGTTTTCATATATGTGTTGCTTGGAAACACCAGGTTTTTGATTGTTTGTGGGGGGGGGTGCTGGTAGATGCTGCCCCAGACGGTCGACCCCAGGTCTTCCCCAAAATCGGCGTTTTGGCCAAACCGCCAAAGCGCCGTGTCGGGGACGGATCGTTCCTGGGTCTCCACACTGGACGAAACCAATGGCATCCGTCCCGTCGGACGCAAAGTCCTCACGTCGTCGTTCGAAGCGACCGGTGGACGAGGAAATACGTCGTGCTCGTCGGGACGAACTGGGCTCCGTGCTCTGTGGAGCAAAGACCAGGGAAACGTATTAGAGGGGTTTTTCAGGGAGGCCCATTAACCAATATTCTTAGGGGACCCTGGTAGAGTTTCAAACTCAAGGGAAATCGAAGAGTTTCAACAAAACGAGCTGTTCTGAGCCCCATGTTTTGCGTGCCAATTGGCAGGCTCAAATCGTGGCCTTGGCCTCTGCGCTTGTTGAAACTTCAACAAAAACTCGGATCCGACGAATTGGGATCCGAGTTAAATAGCCTGGTGTTTGTTGAGAATACGACTGCAAGAGAAATAATTTGTGTAGCAGTTGTATGGTTTCAAAACATGAGCCTTGACAAGCAACATGTTTTGTCCCAAACAAAAAGTGAGAATTCAGTGCCCTTCGTTGGTGGGAGTTCAAACACCCGAGATCGAGATCACCACATGCTGCCGACATCCTGATGAGGTGTTCTTTGATATAAAGCAAGTGAGGCGAGGCTCGGAAGTGCATGACGAACTAGCGCAAGTTGTGTCTTCCGGCAGAACAACACCCCCACCCAAATTGCCACACCAAGCGTTCATCCTTCCAGAAAAAAGAGGATCGTCATATATAATCACCCACCCGGGCCCCTTCCCCCACTCTGTGACCCTCTTAGGAATTCACTAGGTGAAGAGCATGTGAGTCTGTGACGATTCAAGGCCTTGGAGATTCGAACAAACCAACAGAGGTTTTTCAGGGCCGTAGTTCGACTATCCCAGTTCGGTCTCCGTAGCTCCGGGCCCTAGTGAGTTCAGGTCACTCAACCTCTCTTGGACACTCTTTTCACACCACAGAGATGCCGGTCACTACCATCCACCAACTCTCCAGGTCGAACAACGAGGACACCGGACACTGACGAGCCGCGACGAGGACGTCGGACGTCGATGGACCAAGCAAAAAGCCCGAGCTTTCAATGGGTCTTCATCCGGAACCCTTGGTTTTATACGAAGGATGTTACACAAAAACTCACCAGGTACCAGGTCAGTCCCCTTTTAAAGGGTCGAACTGAAGGCGGCCTGGGTTGAGTCTGCATCATTAAGCCTCCAGTTCGGAGACCCAACTGCGGTTGGAAGGTGTGGTTTTATACATCTCTTCAACAAATGGGAAGAGTTTCAAAACAAAAGACCGTGAATTCCCACAAACGTCTCTTCCAACATGGAAAAAACACATGTTTATAATTATCCCATATTCGCATCACGGTTTCACACGGTTTCACTCGGTTTCTCGGCCCGGCAAAAAAAAAGAACAACGAACCTCCCTGGCACGTCGACCACCTCCGGATCATGCCGCGTCGACCCCCCGACCAACCGGCACCGACCCGGACCCGGACTTCGCGCGTCGCGCAGCGCGTCGCGTCCTGAGGTTTCTGCACGCTGCGATCCACCGAGACATTCATCGCTCCGGCGATTCCGCGCCAGTGAGAGAGCACAGAGAACGAGCTAGCTCGGAGCTGGGCTCGTGGGGAGGTTGACAGGCGAAGACGATGGCCCAAAGCCTTTCAGTTTTCTGGAAGAAAGCATTGTATACTGTACCAGTATTGGGCTGACAGTAGGGATGTTCTACCTGTTGGTGAGCTTCATTCATCCGCATCCAAATCAACACTTTTATCCATGCAATGTGGAAGCATGGTTGGACTCAGTTTATGCTATAGGTTGAAGATTGTAGTGTATGTTCTTGTTGAACCTTAATTTGTTAGATCGATGTAGTTCCACCACATTGAAAGAAAGCATCCCAGGCGCTTTGAGGCTTAACCTGGGTGCGACTCAGTACTCAGTCTTGTCCATCTTGGCATTCATGTGATCCGCATCTCCACATCCACATGCCTTGATCCGCAAGATGCACCTGTCTGTCTTGACTCTTGACTCTATGACTCAGCCTGAGGGCCACGCCGCGATGCCGTTTTGTCGAAGTAAAATGCGGCAGAGACGCGGTGGGTACCGTGGATCGGTTCTTCTTGACATGGTGGTTCCGGTGAAGATGTTGCCGGGCCAGGAGTCCCGCCCTTCCTCCCTCTTGAAGATCTGCAAGTGGGTCAGGCCTTCGCAGCCTTTGCTTTTCAGGAGGATAGGTCGGAGAGATAGATGTTGAGGTCGATGTTTCACATGTTCATGAGACCTATATGGTAACTCTCATACTGTATTCAATCCTGCAGCAACCAACCTAAGCTGCAGCCGCCGTCCAGGGGCTCGTTGTCGGATCCCATGTTGCCACTGGCTTTATCGATCTGCCATGATTGACCTGCAATACCCAGACTAGACCGCCAATTCATAACCTACAGCGACGGGTCTTTCCGTACGGAATCACAACGTATCTCAAGAGTCAGTCTGTTATTCAAGGAGCTCATTTGCTGAGACACCCGAATGTTCAAACATGTTCAGACAGTAGTATGGAAATCCCAGAAATAATCTGGAAGTGGAACATGGCCACTTGGATGACCATATTCCCCTCTACAAACAGCAACGTTGGTTTGCCAAATCCATGACTTTTGGGAGAGTGTATCCAATCCCATGCAGAACAGCTTGAGAAGTTGCAGAACAGCTTCTTATCGCATGTTGGGGGAGAAACACCTGCCAAAGTACCGGCGCATGCCAGCTCGTTCGGGCCCGGATGATCGTCGTTGAAAAACCTGACCAAGAATGCAGCGGCTCTGCAAGGATTTTGGCTCTGCGAGGCCTTCACTGTACAGCGTTCGCCCAGCAAGGGATGCTCAGCTTCTAAAACCCTTGATATCGCAAAACTTTCACAGCTTCTCCTCAAGATAGGAAAAAAAAACAAGCGGTCATCCTCCACCGGCGATCCAGCAGAAGACCCCGACCGTTCCGAACCGTTCGGAACTGGGGCGGGCCCTTGAGCATCCCTTCGGCCAAAGATAAGAAGAAAAGCCTTCGGCCTCGGTGCTGAGAACCTTCGGCTCCCTGCGACTGAGGCCAGGCACTGCTGGACCTGGCAGCGCCTGCGCATGAGCACTGCATCTCTCATGGCAGCGCACGTCAGTCAAGTTCACAGGCGCCTGCTCGTGAAAAAGCCGCGCCCCCCCCTTGAAGAACTTCTAGACGTTGCAGGATGTTGAAGGTTACACTTGGTGAACTGCAGATCAATCAAAATAAAATTGGTCCATCCCCAAGAGTCCAGTCATGACTCATTGTACCTCGGCCTGGTCGTTTTGGAATGTGGAGTAGGACTCCCAGGTGGGGGTACTTCATGTGTCAGACTGGAACTTCTGGGAATCTAACGAGATGGTGCCATTCAGAAAAAACAAGTCACCCATCTCTGTCGACAGCCCACGTCACCCACGTCCTACCCCCCCATGTGTCCACAAATGCGCGCGTTCCCTGCAAGCCAATTCTGATGAAGAAGAGCCCCTGTATGGCTTGCTTCAGGCCCCTTGATCCCAAGCTGTCGCCAGCCAGAGGTTGCATCCTCTTCCAAGGGAAAAAGGATGAAGAAGGGAACAAAAAACTGAAACGGAACAAACGGACAAGCAAACGATCTCGATGAGGATCTCCCTGTTGGTTCCATATGCACACAAACCAACAAAACCCAGCTGTAAAAAGACCCCCAAAAACGCTGCTTGTTCCACTCACCGGCATCTCCCCGTCCACACCTCAGAGCAAGGAGAGGTCGATCCCTGAAGCCAGCGCCGCACGACGTACCGTCGACCGGTTTTCACCACCACTTCCCCGGACGGTTTTCACCACCGGTGTTTCATCCGGTGATTCCAAAGCACCCTTGCACGGATTCCGGATGGAACCTGACGTCGTCGTCCCGCGTGGACGGACTCGCTTGATCCCTGCTACCCCAGGGGGTGGGGGGGTCGGACCCCCAACAGAAAATCATTTTTGACCCTGATGATGCATTAGCAACGGTCTAGATCCAGTGATATTCAGTGTCGTCCATAGCACCAGCCTGCACTTACCCAACCTGTTTTGCACTTTCTGCATCATATTTTGCATCATTTGCTTTGTGTTTTTGATCTTTTGGCGTCATCTTTTTGGTCTCTTTTGGGCTGCGTCCTGTTTCTGGGCGAGAACAAAAAACATTGGATAGGGGTCCAGGTATCTGGTATTTCGAAGTGCAAAACAAGCGAGCATCTGGTTACATCGAGCGTTAAATCAAAGAAACAGACCTTGATTTGATTTACATTGCGTGGACGCGTTGCCTAATACACTGCATGGACGCGTTGCTTACGCCCGCGGGGCATAAGCGATGCGGACCCTCAGGGAGCTCCGAGCAGAGGGACCGCGGTGCCGTCCAAAAGGTCGCGTTGCTTACGCCCGCGGGGCGTAAGCGATGCTCCTTGTTTTTTTGATTTTTGGCCACATTCAAAGCAAGACCATCATATTCAATCATGCCAGCATGGTCAAGTGATTTCAGGCGGTTCACACGATCTTGGCACTCTTTTTTTCTTGGCGTCTTAATCTACTGCCCAAGCGGAAAGCCATCAAAAGTCTTGAATCTGGTGGGCACCCTGGCATCTCCATGCTCAGACTTGTTTTCAGTGAGCTTGCTGGAGCCTCTTTCCCATTCAACCGCGTCGCTTGTCAAAATTTCTCGGGGCCACGCGGAGATAAAACTGGAAACATGTTGGCTGTGTAAATGGAATATTAAAATGGAATTCCTAAAGGTACCCCCCCCTCGATCCTCCATTTTCGAGGAGGGGGGATCTCGCTTGCTTTTGGGACGGACTCGGGCGTCCGCCTCGCGCCATCTCGCGCCTCCGGCCGGGACGCGTTGGGCCAAATCCGGGGTGGCGGGCGTGCCTTGGAAGCGCGGAAGCGCCGGCTGTGACGTGACGCGGTGGGTCTCGGTGGGTAGGGGTAGGTCGGTGACGTGTGTCTGGATCTGGTCGGGACTTTGCGGGAAGAGAAGCCCATGAAAGGTCCGTGCGAGGCTCAGGAGAGTCTGATTCATGTTTGATATTTGTTCAAGACTATAAACGCTTGAAGGAGGAGAGATGATGATCTTGCGGTGACCTCTGACACTATCAGACCTCACACAGCGTGTATCACCGTGTATTTGACGGGTAAGCGCACTGACCGATCAATCTCCCCCAAAAAAAGATTAAACTGATGTGAGTTGTGGATCTGAATATCAACATGCTCAGATAAGGGAAACCTGAAGAACATGCATCGTAAGGCTTCATAAGCATCTGCCTGGAGTCTCAATCAACCTCCGAAAGGGGGTACAAGTATACCCCAGGAGTCACGTTCGACGGGGTGGTGTTTAGTCCTTAAGTGAGTAGATGTGACAGGGGCACCCCTAACCTCCATTAGGCATCCCTTTGTGACTGCTGGCCTGCATGTTTCTTATGGGGGCATGTCATGGCATGTCCCATGTTCGGTACTTGAAGTTGGGTCCAGGTGGTTTCCATAGCCGACCAAGCCTGTAGACCGCGTGACAGAACGTGGTCCACCCAAAACGGGGCAGCCCGGTCCACTACGATAAGCCCGGTTCATTCCTTTCCTTTCCATAAAAACCTTGTAGGCTACTGGCGAGACCCAGCGGCTGAATGAAGCCTTAAAACACACGATCTATAAGAAGCATAAAGACCAGTATATGGAGACCAACATACAAAGGGACCTGTTTCATCCCGTTCCCGGAGTCCTTTTCGAGTCGCTGGCCAAGTCCATGGCACGCCGCCAACGAGGCCAGAAATCCTTCTCGTTGTTCATCAGCAACCCACCATATTGACCGTCCTCAGGAGCCCGTCGTTTTCGCTTACGGATGGCGCACAGCATCACGGGATGAAGCACCGGAACTCGTTCGAACGACGTCCGCCGAGTCCACGAGTCGGAGTGGACGCCGTTCCGTGCCGCGCCCCGCAGTGGCCGAGCCCGTGGTACTAGAATCCGAAGCATGCAGCGTCACAGTCTCGTGGCGCCGTCAGCTGTGTCATGCAGTCGACCCTCCACATCACGCCCAGCCGGTCTTGTTGGCGCAGCTTACTGCACTCCTTTGAAGCCGGTTGCTTTTAAACGTGCCAAGCATCATATTCTGCCATGTAGGGGTTCTTGTACCCCCAATACCAGAGAGTATATCCTGCCTCCGTCAGCAGCTGTCCCACCACCTGCAGCATCACGTGGCCCGGTGAATCACGCTTCGTCGCTTGTTGCCGAAGTCTGCCAAATAATGTCAAGAATGTCATAACAAATTTCCAACTTAGATCCGACATGAGACCATCTAGGTGGGACCCACCCCCCTAAAGTTGACCAAAGTTGACTCAGCTCGGATTACCGCGGACACTGTCATAATGGGTAGTTGAGTAGTCAACCACCGGGGCTAACTCGAACCCCTCCTAAGCCGCACACATGTTTGTTTATGCTGATGTTTCTTCCTATGTTTAACACAATCTTCAAAAACCCGAGCGGATTTGCACAAGTTTTCCAATCTCTTTTCCTCTTCCACCGTTTCCTTGCTGTTTGTTCCGTCCTGTTCCACCTTTTTCGCGGCGCCATTGAATGGGTGGTTGCGTAGTCACCCACCACCTCAAATAATTTCATTATAGAGGTTGTATGAGGTTGTACCCTGTCCTTTTCCACCTAGTTTCCTTGATTGAAGCCCATTTAATGGGTGGTTGTATAGTCACCCACCCTCTCAAAAAAATTAGTTAAGTTATATTGGATTTGGTGGCCATGCTCCTTTTCTTCAACCTTTCTCCCTGTTTTCCAACTATCTGTACATGTTTTGATCTAGCTTTGATCTAGCAGTAAACCCACAAAGCATTGTGCCCAAAGGCTGCAACTCTGAGGTGCTTGTTTGCAAGCTGCTGCTCTGTCACCAGACAGGTAGGTCCTCATATACTCAAAATTAATTTTAAACAATTTTGTGCAGGTGGGTGGTCATAGACTCAAAATTATTTAGACATAATATCATAATATATCTATCATATGATAGTTATTTTGCACCACCTAGACTGTTTTAGTGAAAATTATTTTGGTACCACCACCTACATGGCTTGCCAACTAATACTTTTAGTTAATTTTTCGGAAAAAACACATATTTCACTAAGTGACTCCCACCTCCAAATAATTTCCTACGTTGACCCCCCTGGCACCACCCCTGGCTTGATCGGCAGTCCTATGGCAGTCCCATGGAGTGGAGCTCCGGTTGTTGCGTGGAGGTCCGGCTGTAGCCCTTCAGTGCCGGGGATCCTACGGTGCGTACCCTCATGCCTGGTAGCAGTGTTTGTAGTCATCCAGCTCAGGTGTGTGGGCAAAGGATGTAATCCCCAACTGACCATCCCCTCCAATTGGGTAGTGCATGGTAGTGGGTCGTAGCTCGTCTGCCTTACACTCATGTGGAGTCCTCTCCCATCCCCGAGAGATTTGAGGGAAAAGATGCCCTAGGGATCCAGTCGTACCTTCTCAGGTGATGTGTTCGACACCGTCATGTAGCTGCCATTGTCGGGTCCAGTCGTACCTTACCTGAGCTTCGACACCGTCCTGGATGCCGAAACGAGGAAACCGATGCGAAACGGTCCGCGGGAGGCTCCGAGCGGCCTTGGTCAGAACTGCTCCTGCAGAGCGGCTGTCACGGATCATCGTCCTTAGTGATGCCGATGCCGGGTGTTAGCCGATGCCGTCCAGCGGTGAGACGGCAGAGACGCAGACGTGACTGGTTTGAGGCATCTCCCCATGGATGCAGTGGCAAACTGCCTGAAAAAGAGGATACACTGTGTAATCATGTGTAATCCTTGACATAGTCATCCACATGGAAAGATCATTCCTGCAAAAGAGGGTCCAAGGATTCTTGTTTCACAGGACATATCTTTGGAAGATATACCCCCGACCAAATCCACCGCTCCCGTAGCCATCGCCTGGCGTCTCTATGGGGTTCCTTTCGAACGTCGAAACAGGTCGACTCAATCAGATCAGATCCGGGTCGCCCGAATCACCTCATCCAGGAGTCACGCTCGACGGGGTGGTGTTTAGTCCTTAAGTGAGTGAATGATATAGATGATCATAGATGATACATGCATACAGAACTGATTATACATCAATATTATATTCCAGGAGTCACCTTCGTACGGGGTGGTGTGAAACGTCCCATCCAGTGAGTGGATGTGACAGGGGCACCCCGACTACCTCCGATCGCACCGGATCCGGTCGACTGGAAGCCGCGAACCTGGTGAACCTGCGTTGCGAGCCCGCTCTCCCTCGTGGCCGAGACGCGCCATGGTGTAGTCATGAAAGACATCGCCTGATTGCTTCTCGGATGCAAAGAGTATCCAAATCCAAGGCACCGCGTCGGCGGCTTGGTTAGGGATTGGCTCACCCACGAAAGACGTACGCTGAAGAAATGGGTTACAGCCAGCTAAACCAAAAGTGCTAGAATTGTTACACCGTCTTTCAAAATGTACATTTTTGAGAAATACATACTCAATGATAATAATTTCAATTTATTATTTAAAAAGTTACACTTTTACTAAATACATACTCAACTTGAATATCTCCGGGTTGTGATTAATGATGAATAGTACAGTACAGTATATGATGAATCAAGTACAGACAGGAGTCTCTGATGAATAGTACAGTATATGCGACTTCCCATGAGTCTCTGACAGGAGACTCTTCTTCATTGCCAGCACAGCATCATCAGTAAGCATGGCTGCGCCCTCAACAAGGTCTGAACAACTCCAAACACGGCTCAGTAGTGGCACCATGTGATCCCCAATGGCTACATGCAACAATCACTGGATTACACAATACATGCTCATGTAACACCATTACATGCTCATGATCTCCGCTCAGAATCCGGGTTTCTCCGCTCAGAGTCCGGGTTTTTCCGGGTCTAGTCCGGGTCAGTATTTTCTCCGGGTCTTAATTTCTATTTCTCCGGGTCACGTGTTACCTAATACATGCTCACCAGTCCAAATACATGCTCAACCCATTTTCTCCTATATCACGTTAATCACGCTCGCATTCTATTTATATCTATATACAATATGGGAAGGTGTTCTTCCATCGGGCTGGCACCATCAAATTCTTGGAGCCTCTCATGTAGACAATGGCCTCCTCCAAGCAAGCCTGCCCGGAGATATTCAAGTATATGACCAACAGTATATGATGAATCAAGTATACTGCAATGCATGTTATGACCAACAGGTTATATTTAATATGTTAATTAATGTTATTTATGCAATTACGCAATACCTACCCTTTTACTCAATACATACTCAAGATTAATGTTTATACCAAAAGCAAAAATCAACATTTTTCAAAAAAAATGTACTTTTTCGGGTTGTTACGGCATGTTACGGCTTAGCTGGAGGCTACATGGCTAAAAGAACCTGCCTAGACATGACCCTGTTTTTGTAGGAAAGGGCCCATGTTTTGGGAGGGTTCTGATCAAAAAAAAGGGTCACTCAGGTTCTGGTATAGAGCATAGAGTTTGCTGGGGTGGGAATCCTGCCCTTCTGGTCTTTATGCACCAACTGATTTTCTCAAGTTTCTCCCGTGAGCCTGCCAGTCTGCAGTCGTGGCGCTTCAAGAAAAGCATCTACTCACCGAACTTCACCTCTTGATTCTGATGTGCAGTGTAGCTCATGTGATGATTCTGATCAACAAACCCCCTCAATCCCCCTCATATGTTCTTCCATCCAACCAAGAGTCTACAATAATTATGTCCAAGTGATGCTAGTTTTTGTGGATGGCCATCAGTCCACTGTGCCCTGCAGGTGGATATTTTGTGATGAGGCGCCAATGGAGAGTGCCATGATGGCGGCTGCCAGCTGGCCAGTGCCTCGCAGCCACCCCGATCGAGCGCGACGGAGTTGGTCGAGATCGAGGGTCGCAAGCTCCTCTGAACAGCTCTTCGAATGCTCAATCTCCCGCGTTTGGTCCACCATTGTTGACCATCTCAAGTTTGTTTAGAAGCTTGAGAAGCTTGTTCCTGCTCAAGATCAATCTCATTGTTGAATTGTTGTTTGGCGTGATCATGTACAACCACAGCCACTTAAATGGGTTTTAATCGGACAACAAAACCACCAAATCCCACCAATTACCAATAGTGTTGATTGTATGTTCCGAACCTTCCAAGGGGAGAGTCTAGCTGTCTCCTGTTTTTTTTTGGCGATCAAATTGTAAGAATCACTTAAACCTGGAAGGAGTGTTTTATAGCTTAAAAGCCCAAGAGAAAAGCAACATTCTTGAAACTCCACTTTCTGCACTCCACTTTAAACTTATATAGCCAATTCATGTGGTTTCTCTTTTGGCTCATTCTTTTTTCCAGAAGGCTCCGAAGCGTTCAACCGAATCTGCTTGGAATCTGCTCCCAGGTCGATCCACCCAGGTCGATCCGAGAGGCTCTTCTCCCAAAGCTCAATGGAGTAGACTTTCCTCACACCGAAGGGAGGTCGTCTACTACTCGCACCACTCGCACCACTCGCACCCAGCACCCTCCAACAGGTCGGAGCGAACTGGTTGGAGACGCTCCGTGAGGGTTCAGTGTCACAGATCCCCACCATTTCCGACCCATTCCCGGACACGACCTGTCTGGGACTGCCAAATTGGACTGCCGCACCAGAAAGACCCCTCATGGCACCACCCCAATTGATCGGCATATATGGCAGTCCCATTAGTCGTGTCTGGGATTGAAAACCTCACCTGGGAGTCATCATCCACGTTACCAGGCCAAATCAAAGTCATGGCTCGACTCGGGTCGGGATCGTGTGCCCCACAACGTGTCCCAAAATCAGTGTCGACCTATCACCTCGAACATCGTCTGGATCCCCTGAAAGCAGCGGAATTCCTACGACCTCGCGCCGAACGCGAAGGCGTAGAAAACACCTCCGTTGCAACGACTGGGACGCGACGACCGTTTCGTCTCCTGCGAGACCCGACGCGCAGAGGACGGATGTCGTTCAAGGGACAAGTCGGCATTGTCTTGGCGACATTGATCCAGGCTACGAATCAGGTCAGGAGTAATCCAAGTACCTCACCGATCCATCCGGTGGCGGAATTGCTGAGGTTGTCGTGGTTTGTTCGTAACTGATGGTTTGTTCAGTCAAGTCACGAAGTAAGCATCCCAGCTACTACTCTATGCTTTGGTACCTTTCATGTATAGTCTGATTGAGAGCCAAACGCTTCTAGCAAAATAACACTAGCCAACAATGGGTATAGCTACCCCAATGGGGTTCCAATGAGATTTCCACCAAAGGCAAGAGCCACCCCATTCACCAGCCACCGGAACCCATCTCTCAGAGATGACTCAGAAAGGCAGCAGACCATACCAGTGCTGGGGTTTCATGGATTTGGTTCCCCCAGTCATGGTTTCATGGATTTGGACTCTCCATCAACAGTGTATAGAGTGTAGACTCTTGATTCACAAAATTAACACCACAGGACCACAGGAAAAGGCTTTAGAACCCAAATGGATCCCAAGTGGTAGGGTTTTGTATCCATCAAGAGTCTACCTTCGGTCACCAAACAACGGCTCCCAAAAAGCGTCCAGCCCCTCTTGCGCCGAAGAACGAAGACCGAAAAGCGATGCCCGGTGGTCGCCTATATCGAACACATGGTGGAAAGCGGATGGCATCCAAGAGAGGTTGAACAGACCTGTGTCACATATGTACCACAGACCAGGGTCCTATACTCGGACCCACTGTCGGGGTGGTTAATGGACACCCCCGAATCACCTCGCCTCTAAGGGGCTATCAATAGACACCCCTTAGGGTGGTATATGGTCTCTCAACCTCTCTTGGAAGTGGATGGGATGGTCCCCGCGAGGTTCGGATCCCTTCCAAAGACCCCACAGGCGTTTGCATGGCTGCCATCCACATCACCGTGTGATGTGTCAGCACGTGGTCTGAGAGCCGCTTCGGGGCCTTCCGGGTCGCCCACAGCGCCGAGGAGTTCCAAGCGTGCAGCGCTGTCGGTGTTCCAAGCTGCGGGAAGACAGGGGGAGGTAGTTGACACAAAGCACACGGTGGTGCTGCCACCGCACATTGTTGATCCCATAAGTATGGATGCTAGCCATACCTGCTAGCCATGGCCAGGTCCCGTCAAGGTCTCGGCCCAACCAAGGAACTCCGGTGGGTCTCGACATGCACACGCTCACAGTGCTTGAAGGTTTGCTGATAGTCAGCATTCACCTCAACAGTCCAAGAAAGCCCAGTGCCCCAGTGATGGTGTATATCGATCCATGAATCAGTTCATCCAATTCAGGGGAAAGGGGGTAAGCTGTGACGTTCTCCCATGGTCCATGTGAAGCCATTCCAGTCAAGGTGGACTCATTTTCCTTGGTCCTTGGTCCTTGCGATAATTGAATCCGAAAAACACTAAAGTCGCTCAAAGATCGAATGCGAACCAACTAAACCTAGCTAGGTTAGCCAAAACATCAGGAGAACCAACGTCTGCAATGTCTGGTCACAATGTATTTCTTTGAATGCCAGGATGCCGAGCCCACCAATCACCACCGATTGTTGTTTGAATCACAGCTCTTTGCAAAGAAAGTCCTGTTGCATCTTTTGGTAGGGTCGCTTGAGGGATCTCTTTCAAAGGCCCCTTAGATGTTAAGGGGTGTCTATTGACAACCAATTGTGGGTTATGGTATTGGGAACTGTGTCACTTGTTAACTCGAAGTTGCACTCTGGTGAACCATCTCGTGGTTTCCACTCATTCTCCAAAAATGCAAGGCCGATCGACAACATCGCCACAGCCGTCCAACCCCCAAGAAAAAAACATGACTAATAACACCCTATATGATTAGCGATTTTACAATCGAAATGGGACCAGGATCATCCAATGGGTGTCCAATAGACTACGTACCCTACCCTACGATCGTAAACAGGTCTCCTACTCCAGGGCAGAAGGGTGTTTCAGTGCGGAGGTATTCTTCATCCTCCGAGTCGACCTGACTCTACTTAGATACGCCTGGGCTTTGCTAGTGTGTTAAGATTGATATGCATGTTAAGTAACTCATTATTAGCTAGGTTAAGGGAGTTAAGCCCAGGCTCTAAGTACAAATCTGACCCGACCCATCCGGCGGACCGACCCGTCACCGGTGCGTCGGTCGACCGACCGTCACCGGTTGGTCGACCGCTGAAATGCCGGGTCGGTCTCGGTGCGGCCTCCAAGTCAGTCTCTGCCGAGGTGCCGTCAATCGGAAGTCGCCCTTGTGCCGTCTCACCTTCTTGCTCCGAAGCCTGGGGGATGCCGTCGTTCGCGGAGGAACGGTAACCGAACTTCGCGGAGTCGTCGTGAGACCTTTACGACTACCGAATCCTTGGACCCTCCGAACTGGAGGGTTTTGACCCAGAACGCAGGGGGCCCTTGGACCCGAAGAAAAAACCGTCACCGAACTGAGGGTCCTTGATTCTTAAGGAATTAAAAACATGAAAATTGTTTCTTCAAGGGCCGGTGGTCCGGGTTTTATCATCACACCTTCGGAGCGTTCTCCCATGACGACTTACTTGGGAGAAAAGGCACTGTCGGGGAGAAGCCGATGCGGAGAGGTCGCTAATGGTGCTGTAGTCCATCTTGGCCTGGGGGTGAATGTGGGAAGTATGCTTGTTCTGAGAAAGACAGGTCCAATCCGCCCCGGAGACAGTACTTCTCGGTGTCAAACCCCACCGACAGGTTTGGCTCCGACAGTACCAAACCAATGCATCGCTGGTGGTGCATCCGTTGGTTGTGCCATGTTCTGCCCCAAAAGCGTCCCAGCAGGTCCCAGCTTTAGCGTCCTCCCTTTTGCAAAGCAAGCCGCCAGGGCTGGCCTTTGGTGAGATCCAGGCAATACCTGGACAGGGCGACGCCGCAAGTCGACAGGTACACTCCGACAAAAACATCATCTGACCTATATATAATTCAATTTAAGTGGAGTTCCCACCCTGCTTGTAAAGTAATAGTCATCGAAGGGTCCATTTTCCACTTTCAAGTTAGTGAGTCAGAGTTTAGCAAGCGATTCTGCCCCTAGAAGAAGCAATCACTTGTTGGCCTTTTTGCGCCTTCTTAAGTAACGTGGTGTATCTACCGGGGCCACCCTACCTGGGTGTCGCAGAAAGACAGTATGGTTTGCGAAGGGAAGATCACAACGTTCTCAGATTGAACATCCATGTACTTGAAGCCACTGTGGGATTTGTAGTTGCAAGATCAAATCATCTAGGGAGAAGTAACGAACACCCTGCGTGACTTTTGTTTAAGTTTCTAGGGCAAATCACCCCTGTGGAAGATGGCCGGAGGTTGTTCACAGGGCAGGGACGTCCTAGGTTGATGCAATCACTTGGCCGATCTTTTTTTACCGCAGGACATCCTCATCTTTGCAAACCACTGGAAAATAACAATGAAAAGACGAATACAATAATAAACAAACACGGGAAAAAATAACTTCCAAATCCAAATTGTTAAAAACAATAGAACATGTCACATGTCCAGTTTCCTTGAAATGGTTTTGGCACCTTCACACGGCTGGACACCATGCAGTTGTAAACTGCTTTGCTGCTCCACCCGTCTCAGACCCGATCGATGCCCTGTGCTGCTGCAACCAGAAAAACTTCGGTCACCGACCAATTCAAACACCGACCAAGTGTGGGGACTCAGACATACTTGGACCACTTCGACCACATTGCGTATGTTCAAGAACCATGAAGCAAGAGCCATGCAGGTCACCCCAAAAAGCACGGGGTTACATCAGCTGATCTGTTGGAAATCCTACACCTCACACACCTTCACAAATGCCAACAAGTCCGAGTACGACACATTAAAAGAACAACCCAATGGCATGATCTTCATCTCGTTTCCCAATATCTTCGACCCTTTTCCATCCAGCCCTAATTAAGCAGGATGGAATGGACGGTCCCCTCCACCTGGACGGTCCCCGCCTGGAAATGGGGTTGGGGCATTGCGTGATGGGTGAACCTCTCGAGGGCAAGGTGAAGCAAGCGTTCCGCCTGACGGCGTCGAGACAGGCGGCGATATCACGAAATTTTCTGGCAAGCGCTGATGCTTGGAGCAGGTTCACATACCTTAAGCGCCTTGAAGAGGTGTCTTGGAATGTCTTGACAACCAGATCTTTAGCAAACAACCCTCGTTTCACAATAGGATATTATGATTCTAGACTACAAAACCAGGTCGACCATTCTTTTGATTTCTTTTGAATGGTCGTTGAAGGCTAGGGTACAGCCAAATCATGTGCGGGCTGCTCAGCTGCTCAGGGCTGCTCAGGGCTGATCAGGGCCGTGGGACGGGTAGAGGTGCAAATCTTTGACGGCCGAGGGGATCCGTGAAATAGTAATCCCAAACACTGCCATGTATGCCTACATTGGGGTGGTATGATCCCAGGCAGTTCCCAGAAGTACTATACCCAGACGCTCCATGGGACTGCCATAGGACTGCCGCCCCATTGACCCCCAGTCAACCACCCCAATTGATCGCCATATATGGCAGTCCCATGGAGCGTCTGGGAATGCTTCACCACCTCTTTGGTGTTCGGAAGATATCGTCATCCTTCCGGGAGCTGTGCATAGGAAACCTCGCCAGCTTGGCGCACCTTTTCAGCTTCTTGTTTCGACTCACGAGGGGGTTTTGAAGCTCAAAAACCAGACGCCTCAAAACGGTGGGTTCTCCTCAGCCGAAGCCAAATCCTCTCATGTTCCCCTAGTGAGGCGGCATGAACATGGGACCTTCCAACGTTTTCTCATTCAAGCAGTTGTGACATGTTGTGAGAGTCTCCGGAAGGCAACGACTCCAAACAAAGAGACCTGCAGCTTCGTGACGTACCGTGACCTTTTTCCAGTGCCTTTCAGTGACCCTTTGAGACGTTTCTTCCCACCCTAGATCACCCTTTTGGATCTCCTCGTGGCAGCCCCACCTGTCACTCCAGGTCGGTGCAGGTGGAGGGTCGGTCGGTCGAAGGATCTCGGCCACCGGGACCGAGCTTCGACCGGGTCGACCAGTCGAGACACCATAGGGCTCGCAGCAGCTCAAAGGAGGGCTTCACCGTCCAGACCATGTCTTCAGGGCCTCACGCGAAAACAACTGTCCTGAGAAGTCTCAACGCCTGTTTTGGTTCTGGGGAAACTCTCACGCTTATTGTTGATGCGATTTGCTGGCTGCTTCGAGGGATTCGTCGTTTGTTGGCAACCTAGCAGTGGCCTGGCTGCCACAAGGCTGCCCCAAATCCACTCAGTTCTGCCTCTTTTCTTGTGAACTTCCTACCTGGCCGTGCCTGAGCTGCTCTTCTTCTTACCTCTTCTCAACGGTTCCGCCAGAGCCCCCCCGACACGGTTCCGCCAGGGCACAGCTTCCGAGCCACGACCCCAGCTGGTGCTCGGGGCCTACATATGTCGTCCACATGTCCTCAAGATGCGGCAGAACAAAGAAGGCAGGAGGCCATCAGCTACGAACGGAGCAAGAAGCTACCCAGTAGCCTAAGGCATTTGCCCCTTCATCGGGGAAGCCCCCCGATGAAGGAAAATGCGTGGAATGTGAGGCGTTTGCCCTGAAATCATCCATGGTGGAAGTGGACAACTCATCTAGACATCTGAAGACCAAAGAGGTGGTGAACTCACTCCACTTCCATGTTACTGTAGTTTTCCTTGGAGTGTAAGCGTTGGTCTTTCCTGAGATGTTTGGTTGGATCTGGCTCTTTGGTGTCGGAGATCCCTTTCCTGTCCGAAAACAAGCTTCCTCCAACCGATGCGTGCTCACTGACGATTTGGAAAACAAAGCCATTGGTGTACTCCTATCCACATTCGTCCCGTGTACCTGGGCGATCTTGGCGATCCTAGGAACCTGCCCTGCAGGAGGAGGGCCTCAAGCTCTGTCCGGGGCCAAAGGGCCAAGGCCGCTCTTTGAAATATGTCTCATCTCGAGCTCTCCTGAAGCGCCCAAGGGGCTGTGCCGGAAGAATGGACCCTTTGGCCGCCCAGTTGGTCTTCTTCGGTCCCAGTTGGCCGCCCAGCGGCGGGTGGGATCAGCATGGCCATCTGAAAGGGCGTGTCCCGTCCGCACCGCGCCGTGGTCACGGAGCGCTGCAGCAAGGCATCTGGTGCAGCTGACCAGGTGGCTGGATGGAGGTGTTGCTGGTGCTTTGCGAGCAAACATCAGATCTGCAGTGAAGACAGTGAAATCTGAATAAGACTTGCATTTTGCAGGAGTCTACTCGAGGATCATGTCGGGCTTATGAAGTGTTTTTTTCCGAATCGCTGTGAGTTGATTCTAGCGGTTTGGGAGTTGAGTGGATTTGATGCGAACTTGGGGGGTGTCTCCACCGGAAGTTGCCGGACTCCTTCGGAGAGTCTTCAAGGCAAAGCGGACATTCGATCATTCGATGGTACTCTCTGCGCGTGTTCGGGATACGGGCTCAGGACTTCGTATACTAGATGGTTGGATGTGGAAAAAACGTACTCAAGGGGAGAGCCTCTCTGGAAAGCGGCAATCCTAACAATGCTTCATGGTCAAAGGTGGCCGCTACAAACTACATAGAGCCCGGGGTGGTGTGGCTCGTCCCATCCAGTGAGTAGATGTGACGACGGGGCACTCCGAAGATCCATGATTAAGCGCCCCGAGCTCTGTGACTGCTGGTGGAACCCCGAGCTCTGTGATCCTTCACAGCTTCCATCCTGAGCACCCTGCTTGCGTCGGGACACAAAACGTCTGTCCAAAGCACGCCGTTGGACCGTCTTCCCCGCCTTTGGACCCTTCCCGCCCCAGCCAAAAGGTGTACTCTTGCGAGGGCCGCCTGAGAAAACCAAAGAAAGAGAGAGAGAGAGAGAGACATACCTGGACCATCCTGTCTGGGTGTCCAATGCAAGTCCCTAAGTAGTGTAGGGAAGTCCAGCCGCACACCCCATTGGCTGGTCCTGGTAGAACACAATTGTACGTATATTTGAGACTTCAGGCAATCAGTCACGACACTTCAGGCTACCCACCCTCCCACCCTCTGCAGCCCAGCCAGTTAGCCCGATAGAACATTCATAAACATTCCGCACATTAGTGGACAGTTTTCTAAAATCCCCACTCACCATCCGGGGTTGTGGGGCCGGTCCCGGTCGCTCACGTGGAACCGACATTGCACACTCTCTTGGCGATGTTCCCGGTCTCTCCAAACGACCCGCGGAGCGGTGTGTATATACGTTCCAATTCCGGCAAAACGCCTGAGACTCCTCGCCCGAATGGGTTTTGGATGTTCGATGCTTTGGGTCTATATCCCTTCTTCCGGTCTTTGGAGGGTCGGTTTCCCCAGTTACATACCAGGACCGACGCCAACAGGTCACCACCTGCGACCTTTAAGTCTAGCCTCCATTTCGGAGACCTGTTGCTTTCGGTGCTGGTGCTCATTGTATGCCGTGGGTTTTTGAGGGTAAGTCCTAAAAATCCGCGGGCTTGGCTCCTTTGAAGAAATAGGACTTGGCTGACACAGCCAGGGCGTTTTGCCGCACAAACCACTCCAAGTGAAATCACAAAGATCAGGTTTGGCGTCCAAGTGCCAATACAACAAGTAGGCCCCTACAAAGGATTCTTTCGCAAGGTTGCTTCAAAATTGGGGGAATGAACCACAGCTTGTGCCAATCTGTTGTCATGAACGATGCAAGCTTCGACTATTGGGACAGCCCTTTAAAGGGCCTCTTTGGGGGTAAGTCACCCCGACAGCATAAGGAAGAATAGACCTGTGGGTCCTTGGCCTTATAAGCATTGCATCAAAGCCAGGCATACATGCTTGGGTACGAGCTACAGGAAGCTTCCCCACTATATAGCTGTGAGGGGGGACGCAACCCTGGAAACTCTTACATTGGACGCATCAGGACTGCAATTAGTTTCAGCAGACAGATATATGCAGCGAACTGCACATGTATAGCGCATGGTCTGTCTGGTAGATAGCACAGCACGACCTTTGCTGCAGACAAGGAGCAGAAAATGGAATTCACACACACCAGAAATGACTCCATCCGGACCAGCGATGACCTCTTTGCAGCACTGGTGACCCTGGCAGGGAAAGCAAAACAGTGAAAGAGTCGGGACTCGGAGGCAGCCAGAGCCCAATGTGTGCAGAATCAAAACCCTCAAGTTGGTGGAGTGTGTGTTGTTTCCTCTTTCGGGCCAAATCCCCGAGCTCAGCAGGATCAAAACGTCCGATTGAAAGGATCATCAAGGTCGCTCACCTGTCGACACTCCAGACGATGGGATGGACTGACCTGTTTCTGCCGATCCGGCCCGGGGCGGACCACGGCGTCCAGGTGGCGGCCATGTGTCGTGTCAGTTCGTGTTGTGTCAGGGTCATGGAGAGGTTGAGTGACCTTTTCACTAGGGCCCGTCACCTGGGATACCGAACTGGGATAGTCGAACTACGGTCCTTCAACCTCTGTTGGGGGTCATGGAGCTCAACGTGAAACCCGCCCGACGCGGTCCTCCAAGGTTGAGGGTATCAGCCTGCTGATCACTGTGACCTCGACACCGGTCAGACCGCGCGCCCGGGCCCGGAGAGGAGACGTCTCTTCCAAGGAAGTGGAGCACCAAATGAGGTTGTGTAAAAACCCCCTACCTTTCCCTATACCACTTTCGACGTTATCGCTGTTTTTTCTTCCTTATCGTTTTACAGCACTTTGACTAGCTGCAACAAATGTAACAGTATAATTTAGGTACAGTGTGATGTAGTGTGTGCACTACATGCTTGTGGTGTGTGGAACCTTGCAGATATGAAGACATTAGGCACACTTCATTCCAACTACACCCATGAGGTGGCCTGCCTACGGAAAGGTGTTTTAGGCTCGCTGTGTTATCGTTTTTGTCATCGTTGTGTTATCGTTTTCGTGCCTTGTGCAAGTTGGAAAACCATGTGGCACGACAATGCTGCAGCACAAGGCTACAGCGGACCAAGCCCTTCCACCTCTGTCCAAGCATACACCACGTCTCGCATGTCAAGGGTTTTGCACAAGAGTCATCGGGGGTTATCTTTTTTTTGCTTCCTTATCGTTTTACAGGGGATTGAGCATGCTTCCAGAAAAACGGACATGCGAATACTAATTTCTTACATGGGGGGTTTTTATACTCTCTCAAATGGGATCGATGTCTTTTAAAAACAAGCGCAAGTTGAAGATTCATAGGGTCCTAAGATGATCCATGGTCATCTTTACAGGATTCTTTGGTGGGCGTTTTCTCTTGAGACCAATCATATTAAGTATAGAAATCAGGTTGGGTAAAACTAGGGCTGTTTGGTACGGGCCTTGTGGCGTGAATGGCTCTTATAAGTCTAATTTCCACGAACTTGCCAGCTTTACTGCCCTCAACGCTCATCTTTCCTTTCTGCATCTACCACATGCAGTGTCGCACCACCCGACCTAGTCATCTGAGCCACCTCTTGCAGCGTCCCTGAAATTCCCTCAACATCGCTGGGTCGGCCATGCAGACTCTCCCCTTCCAAGCCCGGTTCGCATGGCCGGCATGACCGCACGGCCCGGTCGAACGGAGGAAGCTCCAACATTCAGGGTCAAGCTTTCTCCACCGCTTTTCAGGGGATCCCATCTTTCAGCAGGCAGGTGATGGTCGATGGTGACCTGAAGAAGACACGTTTCCAGACATTTCACACAAGCACCACAACCTTCGTGAAACCGACGGTGAAACGGACCCATGCTCGGCACGCTTGGTTGTGATGGGACTGCTCCGAGGATGGGGGGGCTCCAATGTCATCCTGTGAAGACGGCCTCCAACCTAAGAATGATGGCCTCCAACCTACTCCGGAAGAACATTATACGGTCCTAAGCAAAACACCTTCCGGGACAGGAAGTCAGACTCGTCGCTCCAGGGTGTTTCGGACGGGCGAACGAATCAGCTGCGCACAGCTGGAGGCCGCGGACCCAAATGACCCGTGGACCCAAATGCCCCCAAGGACCACGCATCTTGAGGCCGTTGCCCCACGGTGGCGGTTCCTGCTGGTCTTTTTTGCGGGGACCGCATTCCCCACAGATGATTTCAAGGCCTCCAAAGGCCTCCCAATTTGAGGCTGTGGCAGGCGTCTGCGGTTCCACGGACAACTGCACCATCCAGTTGGCCTTGATGGAATTCACCTGAACGTTCTGCCGGACGATCCACCAAGCCAGCGTCCACCCACTTTGACTCCCATTCCTGGGGTTCGAAGTGCTTCTTTGGGGTTCGAAGTTCGTGCTGGTTGTTCTTCCCCCGAAACAACACATTCCCTAAACCTCCAGTCGCACCAGGTACGCCTGGACCCTCCTGGCACCCACCCCAGTCCCACCTTCTCAGGTTCGGTACTTGGGGGCCGAAAACGACTAGTGGGTGAACAACACGTGGTCCTTGTTTTTCCTGCAGGTTGGACTCCCAGAACGTTCTGGGCACCACCAAAAAGGCCACACAGGCAGCACACACCTTAACCTTTCGCGGCGCAAACGCAAACACCACGGTCGGGCCGGTGGATCGGGTTTCCAGGTGATCGGGTCAATAGGTCAGGTGGATATCCTTCACGACCGCATACAGCATGGACTCGCGGTGAGTCGATTCAATCCCCCCATGGTTCACCCAGTGGTTCACCCATCTGCTGAAGTGCGCCCCTTCGGTACAGAAGGCAGCATGGGGTGGCCAAGCTCATGGGATGTTTGAAAACGCGTCGTTCAGTGTGCGTGGACACTTCAATCAAGGTCAGACGTTCCACTGACTGAGACGTTCCACCACCAGCTCCGTCAAGAACGAGTTGGTTCGAAGGTGTGTGGGTGGCCCCTGAGGAAACCACCCCGAGCAACCAATTCCTGGTCGGACTCTCTGGTCGGATGGAGCAAACCAACAGAGGTTCAGTGACCTGATAGGACCCTACCAGGGTACCTATGGGATATTCTTCAACCTCTGCTGGAATTCTCAAAATCTTCACACCTCAAATCACCTGGGGTTCCAATAGAAACTCCACGTGGTCAGGTCACGACCATTCAAACACGAGATGGCAGTCTCCCGCCTCAGGTCCAGGTATACTTACCTAGAACCTGAGTGACATCTATTTGGGATCACCAACCACCTAAGACATGCTGTTCTCCCTGCTAAAAAAGAAGAATGGGCCATAGGCATATAATATACGATCAGACCAGGTGCTTGCCTGCTTCCCAGTCGGTGTGTCACCGGTCTCCACTGGGCTGAGGGTCCACACGGTGCTTTCAAGGCTCACGGTGGAGTCCTCGGCTGCTGCACCAGGCCTCTCCGGCACCAGCTCCTCCAACTTGAAGAGCCAGGAGCCCCTAGTAGTGTTCTTGTTCCTAGTAGTGGGGCCAGGAGCCCCTAGTAGCTTCTTGCTCCCAGTTTAAGGCCAGGAGCCCCTAGTAGCGTCCTCCAACTTGAAGAGTCTTTGGCACAAGCTCATGGCTTTCGTGGAGCACGAGCACCCGTGCTCCGTGAGGCGCGACCCCTCCACGTTGATGTGAGGCGTTGTTTGGAAGCCCCGAATGGGAGGAAACTCGGAGCCTGTGGGAAAACAATATAGCTATAGTAACAAAGGGCATCGCTACTAGGAGCAAGAAGCTACGAACGTAGCTCTTGGATGTTCATCTTGGAGATGCACCGATGTAGAGAGATGTACCGACTATCCACCACATGACTTTGGGCGAGATATTAAACTTTGTAAGTCCTTGAGCCAAAATACAGCACCAACTAGAACGTCAGGTGCTGTTTTCATCAAACAAACTAGTTAGGAGTTCTTCGTAAAATTGATGTTGACTCTGTCCATAATTCTCTGGAAGTTGTCTATAAACATTTCTACAATCATGAGACATGGTCGCTTTTCTCTACACATATTGCTCCGGCACATCTGCGGTACCGTGCCTGTCTTGGAGCAACTGAGATTGGTCAAATAAGCTTCTCAAACCGAGTGTTTCAAGCATTGCAAGCTGCCAAAACGCTTGAGCGCGTTCAACTCATCGACATGAAGAAATTACGGAGCAGCACCTCTTAAACTCTTCAGGTGACCCCAACAGATCGCTCGTGAGAGCCACAAAAGGCTTTGCCATGGATGAATGAAAACTTTGGCATGCAATTTATGTCTTGATGTCAAAAATTTGCTTAAAGGCAAAACTCCAAGCCGTTTAGAATTACAAGCTCGTGGAGCAACTTTTAAAACAGCGCTTCAAGGAGCCTCCTCAGATCATGAAATCCCCGATGAGGAAGAACAGCCGTGGGACTTAGACGGACATGTCACTTGTCAAGGTGGCTAAGGCTACATCAATGCCGATGCCTTTCAACTGGCTCCACTGTCGTAGTTGCATCTGGCGAAAAGGAATTCTGTCGGCTTCTGCCGGCGTGATTGATTTGGAAGTCTATATGTGGGTCAGTCGTACAAAAGGATAGCTTTGTGGCACCATACGCTGGTGCTGTTTGAGCACACTGATGGCCACACTGGTCACTTGTGGTGAAAATGCAGATGCACTAGGGCCAACCAGGCGGTCGCCGATTTTGCCCGATGGGTGCAGAAGCCAACGGCTTCTTTCTTAACAAAAGGCATTGAACCGGGTATGACAAGGCTCGAACGGCCCGTCTGGTGGTCATTCTCTATGTAGGAACTAATAGGGACCATCTGAAACGGATCGCCCTTGGGCACTGAGATGCACTGAGGTACCATGTCTCCCTTCTTCCGCAACAATTCTGGCGAACACCACCACTGGCAAGAGTCAAGAGTCGCTTGCTGGGCTGATTTCAACAGAAACCTCTCAAGCCGTAGCTCAAGCCTTGTCAAAGGCAAAAGCAGCCAACATGGCAGCCAAGAAAATGAAAGATGGACCAGCGGGCTGTTTCTCCACGGCGTCTTCTCCACCAATCGCCAATCGCCAATGATAGTCTTCTGAGTCTTCTGCATCGCTAGTAGCTTCTTGCTACTAGCAGCAATGCCAGGAGCGCCCCGTTTGTAGCGTCCGATCGCTCTGTTCGAGTCGCGATGCCCTTGTTCCGTTCGTCGCGACTCTTGCTAATGTGAGACTCTGAGACCCACAGGAGGACGTCTTGGGCCAAAGAAACATGTCAATTGCTGCGTCAGTCATCGCGCGCTGCTACTTTCCCTCCTCGTTTTCTCAAATGCATGTGCCTCAGCGCCGCTCTTCGGTGGCCCCTTTTGTAGACCGACCGAGCTTGGCATCAGGAGCAAAAGGAGGGATTTGAAACCACAAAAGCTCAACAGGATGGCATGTACCTCTTCACACATCATTGGCCATGGCGGACGTTCGCAGACTCTTCATCAAGTTTTCCAACAGAGGTTGAAGGACCGTAGTTCGACTATCCCAGTTCGGTATCCCAGTAGCTCCGGGCCCTATAGTGAGTTCAGGTCACTCAACCTCTCTTGGTTGGAATGAACACTTCCAAGAACCATGGGGTGATGGCTCGTCGTCCGGAATTGACCTGACGGGTCGCGACCCGGCGAGAGTGCATCGACGACGTAGTCTGTCTCAAGCAGTTCTGAGCGCAATCCGCGGCAATCCGGCAGTTCCTAGTGGATCCCATGGCAGTTCCCAGAAGTACTATGCCCAAACACGACTAATGGGACTGGCATAGGACTGCCGATCAATTGACCCCCAGTCAAACACCCCAATGTAGATAGGTAAAATATGCCAGTCCCATGGAGTGTCTGGGATAAGGAACGCAGGGATTCGTTCGGTTGGAAAAAACGTCACCACTGGGACTTACTCTGGGGCTTTTGGAGCGGCAAGGTGGCAAGCAACTGAGATGGTTTGGGTGATAGCTATTATGGTAGCGTGTTCTTCCATTCGAAGATGAGACTGGTCTCACTGGGTCCATCCGGTTGCGATGAGACCATCGCCCCTGCACAGTCGATGAGACCGTGCAGTTTCTCCTGCACGCGGGAAACGCGCGTGCCAGGCGTTTGGAGCTGGGCGGGGCCAGGCACGGCAGGCGTCTTGTTTGCGGGAGAAGAAACATGTGATGTGAGAGATTGCAAGCACTTCCAAGTCAGTCTGCACAGAGTAGGCAGCTCGTTGCCTAGAGGTATAGAAATGTAATTCTTAAAACCTCACGGAAAGTCGACTCACGAAAGTTGTGGCGTCGTTCATCTTCCGCTTGGTCCGTCATGGAGAGGTTCCAGCTGAAGGAACCTCTCGCTTCGTCTCAGATCGTCCATGAACAAGTCACCCAAATCCTTTAACAAGCTCGAAGTCACCCAAGTCCAATCATCCTCAGTCACCGAAATCATCATGTTCTTCCGTTCAACCCGAAAACAGTTTCGAACCATTCGAGCCACTCTCCCATGGTTCTTCCCAGTCCAGGTCTGACCATTCTCGACCGGTACAGCTCGACCGATTCGACCCGCGTCGCGACAGGTCCCGGTCACCCGGATCCCGACCCGGATGAACCGACCCCTCCGACCCCTCCAGGGCCCGACCCGGGTCGCGTCTGGGCAGGTTGGATGGAAGTTCCATGTTTTATTCTTCTATTTAGATGTAGAATGGACGAGTAGATTAGATGTTCGAACTATTGTTCTATCTGACTGAAGAATTCAATGCCTTGAGAGACGGCCGTCTTCGCCCAGTTCTCCAAGCTCCGAGGTTCATCTCTTTCAACTCACCCGTCACCTGCCGTTCGACCAGGCCCGCGCCATTCGACCGGATTCCTCTCTTCGCGTCGAGCAGGCGCCTGCATGAGGAGTGGAGCTGCAGTGGAGTGGAGCTGTTGGTCCTAATCTGCAGACCAAGTTGTTGGCACCTCAAAGTAGTTGGCGAATCGGTGATTGTTTGGAGTGCTCAGAATACGACATACCCTTGGTTGTTGGAGACTTTCTTGTGATGTGCGCTACAAAACAAACCAACATACTAGAGATAAACTCATATAATGTTGGGATAATCATATTCAGTATAGCTACATGAGTCCTTGAGCCAAAGTACAACACCGCAACACCATATATATAGACTAACACATACTGTCCCTATCAAACAAAAAAAGACACCATGGACTTCTTCATAGCATCGATGTTGAATCTGTTCATTGTTTTCTGAAGTGCTATAGAAACATTTGGACAGAAAGCAAGTACAAATCATGAGACGTGGTCGCTTCTCTACATGTTGCTCCTCTCCATATTGCCCTGCCGCACTGCTAGGGTAGTACTGTGCCTCGTGTGGAGCAGCTGAACTTTGTCAGCTGCGCAGCCCAGTGCGAGTGCTTCAGGCACTGCAAACTGCCCAAGTGCTTAGGCATTGAACTTATCTGTCGATGTCAAGAATTTGCTTGAAAGCAGCACTCCAAGCACTTTGGATTTCCATGTTTCTGCTTGCCTGACTCCAGGCTTACTCGTGCCGGAGAACCATGTAAGCCTGGTGCCCAAGAACATCCAAGAACCAAGAACCATGGATGAAGCTTTGCCATTGACAGGAGCCAATTCGTTTAAAGCAGCTTCCACAAAGGGCTTCAAGCGGCACTACAAGCATTATTCGTCCACAGGGGAGGACTCTTCTCAGATGAAATCTGCAATGGGGAATAGCAGTCCTGGCACTTAGACTGACGTGTCAATTGTCAAGGTGGCTACATCAATGCCTTTCAAGTGGTTCCACTGTGATAAGTTGTTACTTGCATCTGGTGAAAAATTCTGCTGGGTCCCCTATGTCTAGGGAAATCTGATGGGCGGGTTTTGTGGGTCAGTCGTACAAAAACGATAACTTTGTGGCACCATGCGCTGGTGGTGTTTGAGCACACTGATGGCCACCACACTAGCCACACATGTGGCAGTAGCAAATGAAATGGCAAATGCACGAGGGCCGCAGAAGGCGGGATGCTGCTGCACATGGCGGGATGCGAAGAAAAGGCGCACCTGAGACATTTGACAGGCCGTTGATCCGTAAACGAGACCCGTCACCCGGGTGGCGTGGTGTGCGGACTGATGATATGGCGGCTATGTCTTCGTTCTCAGTTGGAAGCCAAACACGGCCAGCACTTAGCTTGGGCGAACAACAGCTCAACCTTCCTTGGTCTTGGTCCAAGGACATCAAGCGTAGGAAGACCTCAGCTCAATCATCCTTGAGACATTGGCCAACAGAGACAGGGTCGGATTCCTGTCCATGCAGTTCCAATGTCTAAGATCTGCAATCCCTCAAAACCCGCAGAATGGGTAGAAACAAAGTGCCGGGAGATCGGTACCAGGAATCGAATCGGTGAATGACAAAGCGTCAGAGTGCGGAGTCCTGAATTACTGTCACGCTTCAGGACGAGCTCCGGTCATCCCAATCCCAGAGGATGAGCTTTTTCACGGAGGAGCACATCTAAGTGAACCAAAGTGGGGCAGGGCAAATGCTGAACCCAACGAACCTCAGAGCCGCGCTTGAGATGCGCTTGCTTCCGAAACAAATGAAATGGAAGCGGAACGGTTCAGCGCACGCGCTGGAAAGACGCGGACACCAGGTCCGACCGGCGGCCGTCATCGGCACGTGACCAACTTCTGCAGGCTGAAAGCGACAGACTTCGTGTCTCTTTGGGTTTCCTGATGCGTCTTGAAACGCTCTTGTACAAGTGACCCGAACTCACGAAACACGAAACAGTACATGTTACAAACGCAGTCGCCTTACTTATTCTACGATTCTAGTCCCTCCGAGCTATCTTGTTTCAAATGAAGTGGCATATCAAACGAACGAAAGCCATGATGCATCCATGATGCCTGCTTCCAGCACACAAATGGAGTTTCCAAGAGTTTCCTCAAGATGAGTTTCGGCTCCCCTTTTCTCTGGCGTGATGTACAAATCCGCCAGGGAACATATCCCCTGACCAACTTTATCGCCGGGTTCGCACCATATGATTCATCGCTTCGGCAAAAGTGAAAGAGCGCAGTCTCGCGGCGCACAAACAGTTGGACAGTGCAGCTGTCAAGATTGGCGTAAAGCAGGGCCTTGAGCTAGAGGAGAGCTTTCCGTCCAGTGGTGGATTTGGTCAGGGGCACTTCAAAAGAACCCTTGGCCAGCAAAAGCGGCTCCTGTTCCATGGAAGGGTGTTGCTTGGCTTTACAATCTGCTTTGATAAATGCCCTTCACTTGCACACAAAATAGGACATCGCCATACACGGTTGGTAAATGTTTGTATTTTGGCGCCATTTCCAAGTTGCAAATAACGTTCAAGTAAAGGGTATAGTTCCTACAGAGGCAAAGTGATCCATTGATGCTTTGAATGGCACGCTGGACAAACCCATGGAGCAAACCTGCTAATTGACTTTATCTCCGGGTTCGTACCATATGATTCATCGCTTCAGCTTAAAAGTGAAAGAGGAGAAGTCTTTTGTAGCAAGTTTGGCGGCGCACAAACAGCTGGACAGCGCAACTGTCAAGATTGACGTAAAGCAGGGCCTTGAGCTAGAGAGAGCTTTCCGTTCACTGATAGATTTGGTCACGGGGACTTCAAAAGAACCCTTGGCCAGAAAAATCGGCTCCTGTTCCATGGAAGCATGCTGCTTGGCTTTACAATCTGCCTTGATAAATGCCCTTCACTTGCACAAAAACAAGCACTGCCAAATGCTGTTGGTAATTGTTTGTATTTCGGTGCTATTTGTCCGATTGGCAAACAGATATTAATTTAAGTGTCAGGCCAGGTATGTTATGTACCCGCACGGTGCTGAATTTCGAGATGAGTTTCCATGAGTTTCCTCTTGCTCTTGAAAGGCGCAATCTGCAAAGCCGAAGGAACCTGCTGAATACTCTAGAACCCTTTTTGCAAATACCACTCACAGCTTCCTCAAAACTGGAGTGATGCACATCTTCCTGGAGTTGTACGACTGATCATGGCCGTCAGTACGAACTTCTATTGAACCGCTTTTCTGTAAAACTGTTGGTTGATTGTCCACAAGAGGTTGTTTGTACCAGGCTTGGTATGTCAGATCCGAGAAGTCTCTGAATGCCTTGGTCGTATCAACCCAGCGTTGTCCGCATGTCACACTCAACCACTGCAAATGTCCCACACATGACATGCGGTGAGGCCCACGTCATGCTCCGTCAGTTTGCAAAACAGAAAGATCCTTGGGCAGCCGACTTAATGTTGGCGGATAAAAAGGGGTGTTTGCTACTATCACAAATGCAACACCTTGGAGGCTGTGGCTTTTCAAAGGCCACTCATCCGCAGCCTGCCTAGGCTGATAATTAGTTCGCTGCCAATTTCCAACTCCTTGACATACTTCAAGAACCCTGAAGTTTACGCTCCTTACTCTGCTCCAACATGACACTTGCGGTCTACAGCGGATCGGATTAACACGTCCATTTTGCCTGGCAGGTACAGCACGGTCAGATTTCCAACGGGAAAGGGTTTGTCGTGTTTTAGAAGGAAAGGATCACGAAGTCGTCGTCACGTCGGGAAGGGAACCCCCTCCCGAGACGCCAAGACGCAGATGACCGAGATCCTCCCGGGTCAAGGAGAAACTCCGCCAAGAAACAAGCCAGTGCTGGAATCTCAAGCTGGAATCTCAATTCAAGCAAATCACATGCTGATCAATGCAACCGAGGGCGTGTCCCTCTTGGGTTCAAGCACTTGAGGTTGAAGATGGTTGAAGCAAAGTTGGGCGTCAGGTCAACCACACTTCCTCTGACAGTGGATTAGGTTACACAGACTTCAAGAAAAGCTGGGCCAGCAAATGTCGCCTCGCTTTAGACGATGCCTCCTGTCTGATGTGGCAAACTGTCTCCACAATGGCCTTCACAACATCCCGAAAGCTGAAGGAAGGAAAATTGCCTCACACAAAAATCACAAGAACAAATTGCAGAATCGAAGCTATTGGCTATTGGAAAGGTCGAGTCAAGGTCAGCGACTCTGTTGGCGACTCGACTCGGGACAATCCGAAGAACCAGACAGGAGAAGGACTTGAGGACTCTGTATGGTACTTGAGGACTTGAGAGTGACAGGTTTCGAAGAACGGACACCTGTCACTCTCAACAGATCGACGGTTCGACGGTGGTGATCATCGAGATGTTCATGAGAACGGAGGTGTGGATCGGTGTGGAATGGCCGGAGACTGGAGACGGTCGGAAGAAGGAACGAAGATGAATTCTGCCGCCGGAAGAACTGTGTAAACGCACAACGGTTTGATCAGAACACGTGGTCAGTTGATCTCAACACGTGTTCAGCATTGTTACAGCCACATAAGCTGAACACCCGCTCTTCAATCGCTTCATTGCTGTCTCAACTACGAATGACTTCTGACCGGGACCAACAGAGGTTAAGTGACCTTATAGGACCCTACCAGGGTACCTATGGGATAGCTTATAGGGTTCTTCAACCTCTGGGAAGTTGGTGAATGCTCCGGCGGAAAGGCTCGGAGTGGGCAAGACGAGCAACGCACGACTCGATGCCGCGCACGTGGCCCAGCGCAGGATTGCAAGGCACTTCTGCTGAGTGCGCCAATTCTCAAGCCGCAAGCCTCACAAAAAGCGACCAACACCGCTTTGAAACAACTTGGCCCAGAGCTTAATTTGCAATTCCCATGACAAAGCGTGCAAGCTTCCACCTCTTGAATAACTTTAGTATGCTCTCGAACATTTGCGCAGTGGGTCAAATCCGACGAAAACTGATTGCTCAAACTCCGCTTCAGCAAATCAACTTTCCCACTGACATGGTCCTGGGGAGCTTTTGAAATGGTAGACGAAAAGACAGGACGTTTCTGGACCCATAGAAACATGCACTTACGGTCTCCAACACGCATAAAGGATCATAAAGGCCACTTCGGGGCAAAACTGTGCAACTGATCAAACTCAGTCAAGGAGTTGGTCTGCACCTCCCAACCCAGCCG